CGTGTGAAGGTGGACACAGCTCTATGTTCATAATTACTGAATTATATGTTCATAATTATAAAGTTATATATTCATAATTTTTGAATTGAACTTCATATTCATAATTATTAAACTCTATATTCACAATTACAGAATTCTATATTCACAATTACTGAACTATATGTTCATAATTATAAAGCTATATATTCATAATTTTTTAACTTTATATTCACAATTATTGAATATCTATATTCATAATTACAGAATTATAGGTTCATAATTATGTTCATAATTATAGAACTATATATTCATAATTATGAACAGTTTTGGAACCATGTCCACCTCCACAACATAATTTGCCCCATGAGGCCATGACACATAAGGCAGGGTTTAAGTTGGATATAGTAGTTTATGACAGATTAAACTAATTTAGTTGCCAATAACATTGTGGTCTAGTGACACCAAGTGACTCTCTCAAATGGGAGGTCATGAGTTTGAGTCTCAATGGAGTAGTATCATGGTTGCAGTAAGCGCCTAGGCGGAATCTAGGCGGCGCTAGGCGGGCGGCAAAAAAACAGTGGTAGACTTGCAGTTTGACAATTTTAATGAGGTTGTTTTCAACATTTAATCAAATAACACATCCAAATAAATGAATTAATGATAATTCATAAGTCATAACATCAAAACAATGGTTTTTAAAAAAATATATATATATTAAAACAATATTAAAAATTAAAAATACTCAAATATGTAATACTCAAATACTTCAATCATCCAAAGATTCAAAGTATCAAACTAGTCTACGAGTGTATATATGTCATATTATATATATGTATGCACACGCGCGCACACACACACACACATATATATATAATAAAAAAAATAGGCTGAGCTGATCGGGTTAACTCGACCGAAATAGACGAGTTAACTCGACCGAAATAGACGCTAGGCGGTCAAATCGGCCGAGTTAGGCGCTAGGCGGACGCCTAGGCGGCCGGAAACATAGGCGGGCGCCTAGGGGGGAAATCGCCACGGTCTAGAGGCGCCTAGCGCCTAGGCGGGGCCTAAGCGGGCGCCTAGACCGATTTTTACAACCCTGAGTAGTATTGACTCTTTGTGCATCAATAAATTGAGAAAGTAGTTATCAACACAAATATATTATACTACGTATAGAATGGGGAAAGAAGAAAACAAAACTAAGTAATTTAGTAATCATGAAAGTCATCCTTTCAGATTGGCAATGCCGGTCCGAATACTACGTATAGAATGGGGAAAGAAGAAAATAAACTTTGGTCCTTCAACAATTATTGGATATTGTAAATTATTGGTACCAACTCTCCACTAATGAGCTGGCTTCTGCAGTGGTGCTAGGGTCTTAACACAAGAGACCAATGTATCATTTGGTGCTCGATCTTGTTCAGAAATAATGCAAGAATTTTCATCGCGGTTCCTATGCATTTTGAATTTTTTGCACTTTTGGTCCCACGACTATGGTGTCATTAACAACTTTGATTCACGACTTTTAAAATTTGTAAAATTGATCCGATCCACGACTATGACTTTCTTAGCAAATTTGGTCCTTCCGGTGCACTTTCCGTTCAATTTTTGCCGGAAAATTTTACTCCACATTTTAACATGGGTAATATTGCCTTTTCGGGAAAAAGCTCAATGTGAACAACCAAAAATTATTCCAAACCATGATGCACCTGAAGAGTCAAGTTCAAGAGAATGGACGAATTCTCTGCTCAAGGGAAAGAAAATGCTAGTAGTCTACCCGAATTCAAGCATCCTTCGGTTCTTACACAAGAACTTGCCACAGTAGAGAAGAACAAAGTCTCTCTTACACAAGAACCTTCTCAGGCAAAGAAGGCCGAAAAGATCCTCTCACAAGAACATACTGGAGCAGAGTAGGTTGAAAAGACTCTGACACAAGAACCTGCTACAGTAGAGTAGGACGAAAGCTTATCTCAACCCCCTTCTACTCATCACTTAAGTCTCTCACAAGAACCTGGCTTGCCAGCAGAGACGAGAGGAGTGATCAATGAGCAGAATGAAAATCCACCTCCATCACAGGATCAGGTCCTTCAACAAGCCATCACAAATGATTATCACAGACTGATGAATTGGCAAAAATGGAGAACTTCACCTTTTAACTCCTTTCTGTAAAAAGATATATACAATGAGAAGTGAAGAAAAGTTTGCTCTTGAGTGGCTTGGTACTCAAAGTGTCTACGACGCCACAAAGATCGAAACAATCAATCGGGCTTACTAATACAAGTTGACCAACCGAAGCATTGCGAAGGGAAATGCCCCAATCAGTTTCGATGTGAAGAAGCCACCACTTGACCCGGCGTATGAGGCAGAAATGAAAGAGCTTAGGGATGCAATGAGGCTCTCAAAGATCAAGACTGAGCTTGAAAAGCTATATCAAAATGATCCCGAATGCAGCACAACCAGGAAGAAAGATGACAAATTAAGTGCTGAAAATGAAGAAGAGACAGAACAAGAAGAAGAAGATGATGATGATGATAACAATTCCAAGAAAGATGATCAACACGATAATGATGATAAAGATGATGATCAAAGGGATGACGAAAGTGAAGATGATGATGCTGGTGATCACAATAATCAAAGTGCTCATAACAATAGGGATGGTCATGCTGATGATGGAGAAAACAGTGATCAAGATGGAGATGATGGCCATAATGATAGAGCAAAGCACTGATAGTTCACTCCCATCCTAGCCCGAATGTTCCTGACCCGAAAGAACATGATCGTACATCATATGTTTCGGGTTCTGGTGTTGAAAAAGATAAGTCCTCAACCAATCATGATAGTGAACCAACTCCGAGATCAACCAACGATGGAAATGTGGAAGCATCGTTTGGTGCGAGACACGACGAGTCTGGTTACCAAGATATGCATGGTCCCTCAGCCAATAATCTCAGCACTACAGTCATTCTATCAGCTCATGGGAAAATACGGCCTGAAACTGATGCACACTTCAAGGATCTAAAGAAAACACTGCGACACACGAAGAAAGGAAGTGTCAAGATGACAGAACTTGAAAGTATGGCCAAAATAGTGGAACAACTGCTTCAAGACTTGACGTTCACTCAAGCAAATCTACAGAGACTTGAAGAGAATCATGCAAAGATCCTTCGGGAACATCATAATTTGAAACACTCAAATTTCAGCCTTAAGGAACGAGTTGATCTTGCATGCACGAAAGTGGATTCAATACATGATGATCTCTTTCGTATTGGTGAAAATCAGTTGGCAACTCTGAATTATGTGCGTGACATTTCTATCTCCCTTCGAACTCTCACTCAACCTCTATCCTCGGCCACGAATGATGCCAAAAAAAAGGGAAAGAAGAGATAAGGATGATGAAGGAGGAAGTGGGGGAAGCAGTGGAAGAAGAGATAGGTCAAACACTGACGAAAGAAGAGATGGAAGAAGTAATTTGAAAGGAGATGGATGGAGAGAAAACCAAGCAACTTACCTTACCTCTCATCTCCAAGTCAAGTTCAAAGGGCACTCGTCAACCCAGTCAAAAAGCAAGAGAACAAATTCGAAGGAAGTGGATGCAAGACAAAAATGTGACATTGAGTGCAGAAGGACAGTTCCTTCATTACGAAGAATATGTTGTAGGCAGTGGAAAGCGCTTTGAAGGATGTAACATACTTGTCCACATGAAAAAAAGAGACAATCAAGCAAGGCAGGAATATCAGAGAGCCCGAAACAAAGAAATAAGAGAAGAAAACGAAAGGAAGCGGCTAGCAGAAGAAGAAATCAAATAAGAAGAGAACAAGAACTTGCCTATTTTCAGGAAATCCAGGAGAAAATCAAAGACCTCAGCACTGTTGAAATAGATGCTGATCCAAATGCCAAACACAATGCTGTCTTTAAAATTCATGAAGAATCAGGCAAGAGCTATATCGAGGGGATGAATTCCATTGAACTTGTTATTTGGTGGAACAATGGAATAGTTCCAGGACGAAATGTAGTTGAGGAATACAACAATTACATCAACTACACCCTCACTGACAAATATGCAGAAAAAGCTCGAGATAAAGGAATTAGAGCCTTCAGAAAACTTTTCAATGATGAACTTGATTATCAGACCCTGGCAAGAAAGCGAGAAGTTGAAGAATTTTAAATACCCCTCTTCACCACTGAAGAAGGAGCTGGTTTTTCACTCAATCTTCATCTAAAAAAGCTCTGTTAACAAGTGCCATCCAAAAAGCTTTCAAACCAGTGTGTTGTTGTGAAGGTTCTTTTAAGAGATCATCTAGACTTCAAGCTTTCACAACACAAGGAAATCTTGCAATTTATAATCAAAGATTCAAGCTCATCAAGTCAAGATTTCACGAGTTGGAGAACAACATCAATTCTTTCCAACCCTCAACTCTGAAGAAGACGTTGATAGAGGCGGAGTAAACTCGAGGAGTTGAAAAACCTACACAAGTAGCTGTCCGGCTTAGTGATCAAGGAAGCTAGCTTGTTTAGTTTGTACTAGGAGTGATAGTGCAAATCATTTCACGAGTTGTGGAAGAAGAGCGGAGTAGGCTTTGTTAATAGCCGAACCACTAAAAAAATCTCTCTCTCACTATCTCCTTACTTTCGTTTATCTATCTATTTGGCATTGCATTCACACTGACAAAACCCTAAGATTTCTCATAACTAAATTGTGCAAAGTTTAACTTAAAACAAACTCACATTTTTCCGCTGCGTATAACTTCCGAAAGGAATTGTTTTCAAAATTTAAGTAGAGTCTATTCACCCCCCTAGACTCTCTTTCGACCCTACCGAGACCAACATACTACAACGTAATAGAGTCAGTAGCATTCAAAAAAAATTAATCTGTTCTGCAATATAATTAGTTGAAAATAAATTTGCAATGGTGCTCATCAAGTTATTTCAAAAGATCGATCAAATAATGAAAATCATCAGGCTTAGCTTGAATACTTTATCCATGGTGCGTTCATCTAACACATTCCAAAACATACGTTTATTGAATTAAAGTAATGAAAGCTTGAAATGTACAAGAACACGTACATATTAGGCTAATTGCACACGTTCCTGTCACAAGATGAAAATATAAAAGTTGAAACACAAAGCATATATAACAAAGTTCATCCCATCCCTCAAACAAAGAACGCATTTCTTATCTTCTGTAACTCTCTGGCGACATCTTTAATGTTTCCACGATCCATTGGTGATCTAGAAGCACAACAGAGCCCCAGTTTGAACACGGAGATGAAGAAATCATCCATCTTTCTCTCTTCAATTTCCACCAACTTGCCAGGATTTTTCAACTGTTCTTTCCCTCTTATTCCATGATTGCTGCTTTCTTGGCATGCTAGAAGCAATGGGTCTACAATCTTCATCACTTCATCTGGCAATGCTGTCTCAACGTATTCAAAAAGGCTACTACAACCGTCACTAGAAAAATCATAAGTGGGTCTCTTTCCAGTGAGTATTTCCAATAAAAAGATTCCATAACTGTATACATCTCCACAAGTTGTTGCATTTGCTCCCGTCCCGTATTCTTGATCCAAATATTTGTCAAGAAAAAATGATCAAATGTAAGAGTAAAACCATGGAACCTAATCTAGTCAACTTTGAAAGTTGATAACCAAAAGTTATTAAAATAAAAAATAAAAACAATAATTAAAAGACAAACTTGAAAATGATTAAGTTTTTAATTAATGATATTCTAAGTACCTGGTGCAATGTAGCCAATTGACCCCTTTAATTCAAGCGTACTACTCTTTCCTGGTGAATCTCCAATTGTACGTGAATAAAGCCTTGATAACCCAAAATCTCCAACATGAGCGGTAAAGTCTTTGTCAAGAAGAATGTTACTGGGCTTTAGATCACAATGAATAACAGGGGGTTCACAATCATTGTGGAGATAATCCAATGCCGAAGCAACATCAATTGTAATGTTTAATCTTTGAACAACACTCAAAACATTTGTCCTTTCACCATCTGAATGTGGATGCAACCATGCATCGAGATCCCCATTTTCCATAAACTCATAAACTAAAGCTTTGAATTCATTACCCATGAAATCGCAGCTTGAGCAACAAGTCAAAATAGGAACAAGATTTCGATGGCGTATGTTCCTTAACACTTTACACTCTGCAAGAAAGCTCTTTGAAGCACCATTCTTTAGGAGGTCAAGTACCTTTACTGCAACTATTTGTTCCCCACCTTGCTTAAACAACCTTCCTTTGTAAACAAAGCCAAAACTTCCAGAACCAATCAAATTTGTTTCATTGAAGCCTCCAGTTGCTTGGTGCAAATAACAGTAAGAGATCTTGGAAAGCTTTTCATTGGTCGACTGCTCATCAGAGAAGAACTCCTTACTTTTGTCATTCTTCTTGCAATAATTCAGTGTTAGAAAAGCAAGGAATGATGCAAAAGTTAGAGCCAGGCTGACACATGCGAAGACTACAACAGCCATAAGCTTTGGATGCTTTCTATGTTTTCTTTCCTTCACAGGACATGGAGGTAGCTTTAACTCAGGTACACCACCACAGAGTTTATTGTTTCCCAGCAATGATATATTGGTTGCCATGGCAAACACTCCCGCTTTGGGAACCTCGCCCTCTAAGTCATTGAAGGAAAGGTTCAAAAATTGCAAGAAGCTGAGGTTTTGAAATTCTCTGGGTATCTCTCCAGTCAACTTGTTGTTCGAAATGTCCAGATAAATAATGCTTTTTAGAGAAACTAAAGAAGGTGGGATTTTTCCTTCAAAGAGGTTATCTTGGATAAAAAGATATTCAAGACTCAAACAATCGCCAAGTGATTCTGGAATTTTGCCTGATAACTTGTTACTTGAGATGTCTAGGTAAGATAATGTTTTCAATTTGCCCACATCAGGAGATAATGAGCCAGTGAAAGAATTATGGGAAAGATCAAGTTTCACAGATAAGGATGACAAATAGAAAACTTGTTGAGGAATGATGCCATCAAGTTTGTTATGCCCCAAGTTCAAGTCATTCAACACCCAAAGGTTCCCCACATTTTGAGGCATATTTCCATGTAAATTATTATTACCTATATAAAGATAAGTTAGCCGTGTGAGGTTAAAAAGAGTAGGTGGTATTTCTCCAGAAAATCGGTTTTGTTGTAAACTCAAGAATTGTAGTTTTTGCAATTCACCTATCTCGCTGGGAATATCACCCGATAAAATGTTTATTCCTAGACCTAAAGAGATCAAGTTAGCTAGATTTTTTATTCCCACCGGCACACTCCCAGATATCCTATTTTGATATACATCAAATTGAGAGAGTTGGGATGAGAAGTTACCTATGGTGTTTGGCAATTTACCTTCAAATCTATTTTCACTGATAGAAAATATATCTAAGTTACTACAATTGGACAGAGATGGTAGAAAAGCCAAGTCATCAAGGGGACCATTGCCACCAAGGAGATTGATTTCTAAGTTCAACCTTAAAAGATGTTTTAACATTCCAAGATTATGAGGGACTTTACCTACAAGATTGTTTTGTGACACCTCAAGAATTTGAAGCTGAGAGGCATTGGGAAATGAAATAGGGAGAGGTCCATGGAATCTATTGCCACCAAAATAGATTCCTTTCAAGTTTGGCATGGTGTCTCCTGCGTAGCTTGGGATAGTCCCTTGAAGTGAGTTTTCTGGGACTGAAAATACTGTGAGTGAAGTCAGATTGAAGAAAGCAGAAGACAGTGTACCAGTGAAGTTGTTGATGCCAAGTGAAAGGATATTTAGATTCCAACACTGTGTAATCTCATGCGGAATATTCCCCTCCAAATGATTTTCATCCAAAGCCAGATAGTTGAGTGATGATAAATTCCCAAAAGCCTGAGGAATTTCACCTTTCAGTTGATTTTTAATGATGTGAAGAACTTGTAGCTTCTTCAAATGGTGTAGGTCTGTTGGGAGCTTCCCATGGAGGCGATTTATAGACAATTTGAGTGCCCGAAGTTGCAAGCAGCTGCTAAGATTAACTGCAGCTAGTTCTCCAGTAAGTGCATTGAAAGATAGCCTTAAGAATCTTAGTCGAAACAAACGGCCAATTTCACTGGGAATTTCACCATGCAAACCATTCCTGCTAAGATCAATGTCCCTGAGGAAAGTGAGGTTTCCAATGTGAGGAGATATGGTTCCCACCAGCCCCTTCTCTGGAAGCCTCAATGCCACAACTCGTTGGTGGCGGCGACCGCAAATCACTCCTTGCCAGCGACAATGATGCTGGGAGTGATTCCATGAGTTAAGTGGATCCTCAGAAATCCGATGCTTCAAATCCAAGAGGGCAATTCTATCGGTTTCATTATTTGAGTACTGGCCCAGAATTAATGCTGCTGATACAGTAGTGGAAGTGGGAATCTGGGTAAAACATATTAGGCAAAACAGAAGAAGATGGACAGTCAAAAGTAGTGAAGACGATGAAGATGAAGATGAAAAAAGTGATATGTTTTTTGCATGGTTCATCTTCTTCATCACCTCAATATGAAGATGGGTTTAGATAAGAGATGGAGTGATGATATGTTAATCTCAGTGGCCACTGCTTATTTATATACATATGCATGCTAATTAAAATAGACTCCGGTCAACCATTATTATTATTTTTTTAATATATACGTACGTGTTTAACAAGTCCATAATACTTTAGTACTAATTAATTGCAGTAAAAGTACTTTTTTTGTGATTATGAAAACGAGTTAATCCCATACGAAGTACTTTTATATATTTTAGCATTTAATTTCTTGTCCAGGGAAAAAGATAAATCTCATAGTGGAAGACTGGAATAAGGTGGTTAACGCTCTATATTAATTTTATACTAATTTAGACATTCATTATATTCCCTGTCTGTTTGATTATGGGTATGAATGCAATTTGAGGTGGGGCTAATCGTGATGGACGGAAGCTAAGGTAAGAAAGCAAGAAGATCGACTAAGACTTTGTATTTATTATTATTACTAGCAATCGTAAATGCCCAATATTAAAATATTTGTAAGTAACAAAATTTTAAAAATTAGTTAAAATTATGTTTTACAATTTCTTAAAGTGATGATACTTTTGAATTATCATATTTGTTGAATAATATAGTGATCAAAACAAAAAAATAAATAAATACATTATATTTTTATATAATAATAATTTACAAATAATACTATGCTAAGACTCACATATATGATATATTGATATGGATACACAAATAATATATATATATATATATATATATATATATATATATATATATATATATGATACACATATATAATTTAACATTCATATAAATATTTAATTAAAATATAATTTATAATTAAATTAATTGTTATATGATAATTTTAATAAAATGATAATTAAAAATAGGAAAAAGATATGATAGATGTAGGTGTATGGTAAGATTGATAGATATATTAAAAACTAACGGTGTTATAACGGTGTAAGGGCGATTTTGTCCAATGCAAATGAATGTACAACAATTAAAGCAAAATGTATATATTTATTAGCATATAAAAAAGGGACAAAAATCAAGGACATAACTTGTATTGACATTTATTATGTTTTTAGATTATTATCATTATCATTATCATGATGTGTTTCTTAAATATTCGAAGTTCTATAAAGTTCACTAGTTCAGCATATACATAGCTTGGAGCAACTTAATCAAGTTGATTGGATCATTGACTTACTATTATGTCAAAAGTTATAACTAGTAAAAAAAATGTATTGTATTTTCTTATATTTGTAAAATAATCAATGTCAGGTTTCAATAGGAGATGTTAGACTTAACCTTCAAAACCTTTGTTGAACAATATTCAAGCTATTTATACAAAGTCATAATTGTTATCTGTGCATATATCATTTGGTAACTAAGCAGTCATGTAATGAACACAGAACGATCTATTCTTTCGCCTTTTACTAAAAAAAAAATATATCATTTGGTAACTAACATCGGATCTTAAGGAAGTCGTAACATCCTTGATAGCTAACATAGTCTTTCGAAATAATGTCTCAACAATTGTTATACCATGGACCAGGGTCTATCTTGAATTGTGGACTATGGTCCAAAACGCCATTTAGATTATGTATTTGCAGTTAACATATTATGTACATTTAGTTAATAAATTATGTATATGCAATTAACATATTATGTACATTTCGTTAACATATTATGTACATTTTATGAAGTTAATAAATTATATACATATAGTTAACATATTATGTACTTTCAATTTATTTATAAATACATAATCTATTAACTGATATACATAATATATTAATTACATGTACATAATTTAACTACATGTCTCCATGAATGGGTCAACTTCATAGTTGGGCCAAACATGTTACGACATTTGCCAATTAGATTATTGATAAATTAAACATTATATTGTACCTTTTTTGTACACTTACAAATTATTTTTATATTTTTCTTTATTTTCGATGTATTAATTACTTTATAAATTAAAAGTGGAAGTAAATTGAATGGAAATGTGAAAAGAATTTGGGTTAATTTCCAGAACAAACGTGACGAGGGGGAAATGGAAAGCTACTAACTAAAGCATGCAACATCTTCAATAAATTAAAACTACTTTGTTAAAGCTACTTCAAACAAAGGGAGATGCGGACCGGCTATATATTATACAAAATAATGTACATTCAATACTTAAATAATATATTTTACTTGAATATAATGTAAAATTTTAATATATTAAAAGTATATTATTTGTGTTTTGAATGTACATTATTTGATAGTATAATCCATATAGCTGTATAGACCATGGTCCACACAAGAATGATGGATATTATACCCGACAAATACTTCGTCAGGAAAACACAACACTTGATATATATATCATCAGGGTGTTTAATGTCCAATAATTAACAACCACAATTATTTCTTGTTATTGAGACCAATTTTTCTACATTGTCCTGTAAATAATAAATATAAAAAAAAAAAAAAAAAAAAAAAAAAAAAAAAAAAAAAACGATATGCATACATGGAATGACAGATAATGATGAGTTAAGTCAATTTAACAAGACATTATTCTACTCGAATTCATATATAAAATTTAAATCAAATCACAACACTTAATATAAGAACATATATAGAAAATATTGCAGCTTGTTCCCCATGGAACAAAAGAAGAATCCAAGAAAAAGGTTACATCAAAAGAAATTTAGAGCAACATATATTACGCAAATTGAAAAACAACAAGCTTTTATTAATTACTAGCTAGTTCACCCATGGAAATATTGTATGTCACAAGACATGTTTGTTTAATTTTATGCAAAGAAGGCCTTCTTTATCTTGTGTAATTCCCTGCTCACTTCATTCATATGCATGCGATCCATTGGTGATGTTGAAGCACAAGTGAGTCCAATTTTAAAGATGGAGAGGAAAAAGTTATGCACCTTGCTCTCTTCAATTTTCACCAAATTGTCCTGATTCTCCAACTCTTCATTTTGTCTTATTCCAAGGTTGCTTTCTAGGCATGCTAGAAGCAATGGGTCAACAATTTTCGTCACTTGCTCCAATAATGCTGCCTCAACATACTCATAGAGACTCTTACATTCACCATTCATGAATAAAGCATTTGTGGGTGTTTTAGCTGTGAACATTTCTAACAAAAGGATTCCAAAGCTATATACATCTCCAAAAGCTGATGCCTTTGCTCCTATCCCGTACTCTAAATCAAAATTATTTGTGAAAACAAACAGAGCAAGTGAACAAAAATTAATAGAGCATTTTAATTTTTGGAAAAGAACTTCTTCAACATAAGATATTATATATGAATATGACTTTTTCTCTTAAGCTAGCTAGTTATGGAAACAAGTGGTAAAATTTTATGATGACAATATTCTTACCTGGTGGAACATAACCAATTGACCCCTTTAATCCAATGGTAGTACTTTGTTCACCAATTGGATCTCGCGAATAAAGTCTTGATATACCAAAGTCTCCAACATGAGCAGTTAAGTCTTTGTCAAGCAGAATGTTACTTGGTTTTAGATCACAATGAATAACCGTCGGCTCACAATCATCATAGAGATAATGCAATGCAGAAGCTACATCAATTGCAATGTTTAACCTTTGAAGAACACTTAGAACGGTTGTCCTTGCATTAGATGAATGTGTATGCAACCACATATCCAAATCCCCATTTTCCATGAACTCATAAACCAAAGTTTTGAATTCATTACCTGCAAAATCACAACTCGAGCAGCAAGTCAAAATTGGAACAAGATTTCGATGGCGTATGTTCCTCAACACTCTACACTCTGCAAGAAAGCTCTTTGAAGCTCCATTTTTTAAAAGGTCAAGTACTTTCACCGCAATCGTTTGTTCTCCTCCACCTTGCTCAAATCTTCCTTTGTAAACAGAGCCAAAACTTCCCGAACCGATCAAATTTGTCTCAGAGAAACCATCAGTAGCTTGATGCAGGTCTCTATAAGGTATTTTGTAAAGCTTTTCAACTTTGGATGGCTTAGCTGACTCCATCCTTTTTTGCTTCCTCCAACACAATGTTAGAATAGCAATGAATGATGCAAACACCAGAGCCGAGCAGATACATGTGAAGATAACAATCATAAGCTTTAAATGATTTTTGTGTTTTGTTTTCTTCACATGACATGGAGGCAGCTTTAGCTCAGGTATACCACCACAAAGTTTTTTGTTTCCAACCAATGATACATGGTTTGCCTTAGCAAAAATTCCATTTGTTGGCACCTCACCTTCCAGATCATTGAAAGAAAGATTCAAATATTGCAAGAAAGAGAGGTCTTGGAGTTCTCTTGGTATCTCTCCTGTCAACTTGTTGTTTGAGAAATCTAAATGCCTAATGCCTTTTAGGGAAACCATAGAAGGTGGAATTTTTCCTTCAAAGTGATTGGCATGCATATCAAGATATTCAAGGCTCAAACAATCCCCTATTGTTTCTGGAATTTTGCCCGATAATTTATTTCTAGAGATGTTTAAGGTATTCAGTTTCTTCAATTTGCCCACATCAGGAGATAACAGGCCAGTGAATGAATTACTAGAGAGGTCAAGGTACTTAGACAAAGATGGCAAATCAAAAATTTTTCCAGGAATGACGCCATCGAGTCTATTATGTGACAAGTACAATTCATTCAAATTCCAAAGGTTTCCCACACTTGAAGGTAGGTAGCCATCTAAGTTGTTGTGGTCCATAAATAGAGAAGATAAAGAGGTGATGTTAAAAAGAACAAGTGGTATTTTTCCAGAGAACTGGTTTTTTTGCAAGTCTAGTACTTGTAGATTTTTTAAGTCACCTATCTCACTAGGAATAACACCTGATAAATGGTTATCTTCTAGTTCTAAATCAATCAAGCTAGCTAGATTATTTATTCCTATTGGCATCGTTCCAGAAAACTTATTCCCCGCTAAACTCAAAAAAGAGAGTTTGGACGAGAGGTTAGCTACGGTGTTTGGCAATTTGCCTACAAATCTATTTCCAGCAATGGAAAATTGTGTTAAATCACTACAATTTGAAAGAGAGGTTATGAAAGCCAAGTCATTGCCACCAAGAAAATTGTATTGAAGGTTCAAACGCTGGAGATCTTTTAACCTCCCAATATCGTCTGGAACTTTGCCTACAAAATAGTTTTGTGATAACTCAAGAAGTTGAAGCTTAGAGGCATTGAGAAATGAAGTGGGGATAGTCCCATGAAATTTGTTGATACCAAAATAGAAACCTCTCAAGTTAGGCATGGTGTCTCCTATGGTGCTTGGAATGGTCCCTTGGAGCGAGTTTTGTGTAATTGAAAAGTTGATAATGGAAGTCATATTGAAGAAAGTAGAAGATAGTGTACCAGTGAGATTGTTGGCACCCAGTGAAAGCAAAAGCAAACCGCGACACTTTGTAATCTCTTCAGGAATGTTCCCCTCCAGATGATTATACTCCATTCCCAATCCTGAAAGGGATGAAAGATTCCCAAAAGATGGAGGGATTTCACCTGTCAATTGGTTTGCATCAAGAGAGAGACTTTGCAGCTTCTGCAAATTAGCTAGCTCGCCAGGGAGCTTCCCATGGAGGCCATTTAGGTAAAGGAAGATTTCCCTGAGTTGTAAGCAACTGCTAAGATTAGCCGCGAGTAGTTCTCCAGTTAGTGCGTTGACAGACAGGTCGAGAGATCTTAGTCGAAACAAACGACCAATCTCTCCTGGGATTTGGCCGGACAGCTTATTGGTACTGAGATTCAGTTGTCTGAGGAAAGTGAGGTTTCCTATGTGAGGAGATATGGTTCCGACCAAACCCATATCAGCAAGCCTCAATGCCACAACTCGTTGGTTTTGGCGACCGCAACTCACTCCTTGCCAGTGACAATGATGTTGGGAATCATTCCAGGAGTTAAGTAATACTCCATGGGAATCATCGAAAATCCGATGTTTAAAATCTATAAGGGCAATTCTGTCGGTTTCATTTGAGAACTGGAGAATTGTAGATACAGTGAAACTGGGGAGGATAACAAATACTAGGCAATAAAGAAGATGTTTCATCTTCTTCTTCAACTCAATGTGTTGGGTTTGGATACATAAAGCTTATGATAAACTAAGTTACTAATGAGTTGATATATACACACACATACTCTAAACTCCGCCACCATTCACGACTTCAAATTTTCTTACAACTTGCCTGACAACCTTCTCGCCCATTACACTAATTAAAACTTTTTATAGCAAGTTGCCTAACAAGATATGCACCATAATGACACAACTCCAACAAAGTTGGTTGGATAGTTGGCTTGTTAATCACAAAGTTCGGCTTTCTTAGTTTGTGAAATCTATCTATTTGTCTTTTTTTAAAATTGAACTGGTTAGATAGTCGGATTCCTTAGCTAATCACAAAGTTCGACTGATTTACCTCATTGTGCTTCTTTATCGATCAGCTATAGTCACAAGACAGACTTTATCTTTTTAAAGAACCAATAACGCCTCCACTGAGGCTCGAACTCATAATCTTCCAAATGGAAGTCCAACCCGGGTACCATTAGACCACATAGTCCTGGTAGACAGACTTTATCTAAAATGCAGCTTGCTTTGAATTTTTTGAAAATCAAAGATGGTCCCGAATTACATTTATTTAGTCCGAATTACATTTATTTAGTGGGTTTTGGATTCTTTAAAAAAAAATGAACAAGTTGCACCATGGGTCCATGGGTGTGTCACTTTTCTTTTGGAGTATTAGATTTTATATATATAGTGCAGGAAGGATGGGATATTGCCATATTGGGATGTTACGCCAAAATGGACTCAATCATCACCTTTTGGGATTTCTAATGAGCTGCTTTTTGACGTAGTTGGAAACCGGTGGCAAATACAACGTGCGACTTTAGCTTTCCCTTTTAGTTTTATATCTGAGTCTCTTTATATATATATATATATATATATATATATATATATAGGATCAGAACACTTGCATAGGTGAGAACATGAGAACAAATCGTGTGCATCCATCTAATATTTTTTAATGATCTAGATTAGATTATGTGTGTGCGAACGCGAATTGAATGTCTAAAAACACAATTAAGAAAATTTTTAGGTCCCGTTTAGTTTGCGGAAAATATTTGAAAGAAAATAGAATTGGAATTTCATAGAAAAGAAATCATGGTAAAATTTTATGATGTTAATATTCTTACCTGGTGGAACATAACCAATTGACCCCTTTAATCCAATGGTAGTACTTTGTTCACCAATTGGATCTCGCGAATAAAGTCTTTGTAAGTATTTTTCCTAAATACAATATATTATAATATATTGTATTATTGGGTGGTTGTGGTGCAAGTAGGAGATTGAGTCAATTAGTGACTTAATCTGTTATGCAACTCAGGATATTCAGTTAAGCTTTAACTGAATATCTGCCTATGTTGATGGCATGTAGGCTTCTAAGCAAAATAGTCCTCCCACAGCTCCCGTGTTCAGGACACGCACCATCACGTATTCGGGAGAGAAGTGGTAGACAAAACGACACTAACCTTTATTCTGCAGGTTTACCATCTCGTGGCAATACCAACGGCTATGGCTGGGGATATTTGGGCGATCCTAAAGCTTCCGCTGTAACGAGGCAGGTTACTCGTTTACTACAGTTTGTGTTAGTCTTAATATTATTATCTAACATTTGGTATCAGAGCCCTAAAAATCTCTGCCTAGTTGTTTGTATTATTGAATACAAAAATCTGTTTTTCATCGAAACTATTGTCGTATACATTGATTTTTGGTATATGTTGTTTTTCGAAATTTTGTTCGGCTTGGGATTTAATTATGTGCATTAAGAATAATTAATTTCCTTTTGGATATAAAAATTGTTGTTTTTTGGGAACTAAACATCGCCGGATTTTTTTTGTTGTTCCCCATTTTTGGTCTCTGTTTTCCGTCGCATGTAACGAGACCATATCGCAGGTGTTCCGGATTTTCCGGCGATCTCCATCGACGACGAGCTGGGCGATGTCAGGCATTGGTCATTGGCGTCGTCCTCGTGATCAGTGGCGATGCGAGTTTATGAGCAGCGCGCTCCAGCGACGCGAAGAACGCTTTCAATCTTGCAGCAGGTGGGAGACGAGGAAAGGCGGCGGCGGCCCTGCTCTTGTTTCGCAAGTAGAAGAACGGTGAAGACTGGTTCATGGGTGACGGCAACGACTCCGACGGAGGGTACTGCTGACGTTAGGGCTGTCGGTATTTTCCGATCCTCCGCTGTGAGCTTCGCCGCTGGATGGACGGCGCCATGGGGCGTTGTGGTTCTGGCTGGCGACGGAGGGAGGCACTGGCTACCATGGTGGCGTCATCCATGGATGCATCCCGGTCTAGCCGTTGCTGTTTCTTCTTCACCGGTGCTACAGTGGAAAAGGGGAAGAAGCTTTCATCTTCGCCACTGCAAATTCAGCCGGCGGTGGGTGGCGGCGACGAGGCTGAGTCCCTGGTAACGGAGGCGGGCTGGCTTCCTGGAGACCGTCGCTACTCTGTCTTCCTCCGTCCAGCGACGATTGGTCTCCTCTCTACGCTGCTTCTTCACTAATTCTGCGCCGGCATTATCGCTGGTTTCCCGGCGATTCTTTGGAAGATGACGGAACAGAGTTGGAAACTTCCTCTTCCTGGTAGGCCTTCATTTAAGGAGAAATTGCTTTTATTTACCATATTTAATATTTGCTTTATATTTAATAATTACATATTAATTTTGGTAAATGGTAATTATATTAGGATTTAATATTGCCATATTAATATTTACCTTAATTAATATTGTAAATTATTTTTGACAAATGGTAAATTATATGGTAATTGCTTGTTTTGAAATAATAATGCCCTTTAGTTATTCTTTAATTTTGGCATTAAAATTTTCAAATTGAGATTAATTGTGACATTATTTGTGATTGAATTGTTGCCGCTATTAGTTCAATTACAGTAATTCATGTCACAATTGAAAGTTATATTAATGCCTTTTAGTTTTCTCTCAATTTTGGCGTTATATTCACAATTAAATTGTTATTCAATTTTGAGCAAATATTAAGTATTGAATTTGCTACTTGAATTTTAATTTAATATTAATGTGCATATTAAATTGCTTGAATTATTGCAATTTATTTAGTATTTATGAGTTAATAATATATTAATTTGCAAAATCCAAACATGCTCTGTATATTTTTTAAATTATTTTATTATAATTGTACATTTAGAAAAGCATATATTAAGGTTGGATATAGCATATTATTAACTCATAGATTTTATGTTAAATATCGTTCAATTTTGGATCCTTAGGTTAATTTTGGACATTATAACCTATTAAGAGAGCTTGTTTGGTTTCTCATTTAATTTTGAGCATATTTTAGTCCTAATTTTTTACTTGGGACTTTAAAACCTATTTTGAACAAGCTATTTAGGATCTATCTTGGTCAGTATGGATCCTACTATTATTTGATTGATATTTTAATAATAATTGTAGCACATTCTTTTTATTTTTGATTATAACATGTTTATTTAGTTTCAATTATTACTAACTACCGTATTTTGTTAACGGTATTTATTGTTGGTGATAATATAATGTTTGGATCTATTTCCATATTAGAACATTTATCATTCATGTTATAATTAACTTGGGACATTAAGGTTTATGGGCCTGACTTAAGCAATTTGTGCTATAATTATTATCATTGCGTGATTTTGAGTCATTAAGGGTTTAAGGATTACAATTACCATTTGAAGTCATTAAGAATTATAATTATTGTCTTGGCCATTAAGAATTATAACTATTGTTTAAGCTGATTATGTTTTAATCTATTAATAGTTTTAAGGGCCTTAACAATAATATTCTGTTTTCTTAATGGTAAGCAATGTACATAGTTATGTTGTCTTTACATTTTTTTGGTAATTTGGTTATACCTTAATTTTAATCTCCGACTCAATACAGTCTTGATTAATTATTATGTGGTAAATTGAGATTAGTATTTAGCATCCCTTAATTACAATTTTACATTTATTGTAATTATTATTAATTTATATTATTAATTAATGTTATTAAGTTTAGGGGCTAATCTCATTTATTATCTTTCATAATAATTATTAATTCATGGTAATCTACTATATTTGGTACATTGGTAAGATTACCCATGTCACTTCATTTTCTTACCAATAAACTGTTGCGTACCATTGGGCGATTCAATTAAACACTCCGTGAAGATGGGAGATTTTGGAGGTTTTTCTTCGCAATCGCTGTTAGTGCTATTGATAGATGCAGTTTGCATCATTAAGGTACGCAAATCATTAATTACAGTTTATTGTTATTGGTAACTACTGTTATAGCTGTTAACCATTTTGAACTAGTCACATTTTATCCTTAAGAATATGGAAACATTAAGATATGTATTACCATGTTTGTCATTATTAAAATGTTCATAGTGATTATAATGGTCCTTATTACTATTAATATTTTAATTAATGATAACATTATTTTTATGGTATTAAGTCATGAATTGTTTCCAAATTGATTTATGTGACATTTATTTTCGGACTTAAGTTTTATTACATTTTAAAGTTATATCCAAAAATGTTTTAAAGTTTAACAGTTTTAACTATTGTTTTTTCATATTTAGTCTCCAAATTAACATAATACTATTATTATGGCTATTTATTGCTTTTTTGGTTTATTTGCGATTTTTTGCCATTAATAATATTATTAATTGAGTTTTGGAGAGTGATTTCTTTAATCAATTCAGATTTTGGAAAAACATGTTTTCTTGGCAATTTATTTAGTATTTGAATTATGATTTTAGATGTCATTGCCCACATTTAGTTAAGTATGAATAATTGAATACACATTTAGTGTTTTTCATACTCTTTAAATTGTTTTATGCTTTTAATCACATTAAGTGCATAATATTAAGTTTAATTATGCCGTTAGATTTGTGAGATTTTATTTACGAATAAAACATATACTATGGCTTGATATTTGTGAATTTAGCCTGTTTCTCACAAAGTTGATTTTATGCAATTAAAACTTTTCCACGTGGGCTTATAGTTTTTAACCTTTCAAAGTATACATCTATTATATTATTATTCAAATTTTGAATTTCTTTTGGTTAGAAATCATACTAGTTTTGAATATTAATTGTATACTTTGAGGTTATTGCTCATATTTAAAATTGTTTTGGTTTATGCAATTTATTTAGAATATATGAGTTTAATGTTTGATTTTATGCATACTTGTCCACTGCATAATATTCTGTTTTTTTTAATTATGCAATTTTATTATGCCTTTAGAAATGCATACTTTAGGATGGAATTATATTAGTTCCTTATTAAGTTGGACCTATGCATAAAACTTTAGTTGCGGTAGTGCCTGAATTTATGCACGTTTAGTCTGTCAATTTAGTTCATCAATTTAAAGCCTTATCCATAGGTGAATCTACAATCTTATAGATCTCCCAAACGGTTTTACTTCAAACATGAGAACACATGACTTAGGGAAGTTTCTTGGGGAGGAATACTAGTTCTATGGCCCTGGCTTAAAAGCCTTGTTGCTACTAGTCCCCTTGCGACGCTACTCTGTCTAAGGAGTTGGTATTTAACCGAGCTTCGTCTTGACCAACTTTCCTGGGAGTATACCTAATAATTGTCTATCATGTGTTGGTTTAATTTGTTTGTTAGGCTTTAAATTTCCCTTTTGCCAAGTGATTACAATTTCTAGATTAATTAAAGAGTAGCCACAGCATCTTTAATTTACTAAAAATTGTCTAAAGTTCAAATCACATAAAGATGGCAATGATAAATGCCTAGTGATCCTATAATTTTAATTAGTTGGGGAGTAGCCACAGCATCCTTAATCAGTTAAAATTATATATTGAGTTGTTAGGGTCACATAAAGTTTTAGACATATCAATTGTGATTAATTGTATGTAATATGATGGAATTTAGCCCACAGGCAATTTCGTTATATTTGTATGATTAATTAGGATGAAATACTGAACTATGATCATAATTTAGCCCACAGGCAATTATGTATCGGAATGTAGTTTAGTAGTTTTATCAGTGATGATATGAATAAAGAATTTTATTTACTTTATGAATAATTCTCATCTCTATCATGAAGCTTAATTTTATGATGTAAACTTTAGGTCATATATCTTAATTTGCCCACAGGGATTAAGATAAGGAACATGATCTCTTAAGTTTTTTGTCATAATGGTTGTAATGAATCTAATTGAATTAAAACTTCAGCCCATAGGCAAGTTTTATGTCACTTGATTCTTCAACTCATTTGATAATTGTTTCATCATAAAATTTCAGTTAGATCTTATTGAGTAAAATTTTAGCCCACAGGCAAGTTTTATGTCACTAGATTCTTCTGACTATTTAGTAATTGAGATAAAATACTATCATAAGTGGTTAATTGAATTTAATAGAATTAAAACTTTAGCCCACATGCAAGTTTTATGTCAATAAATTCATCAACCCATTAGATAATAAATTTATCCTAATTTCTTAGAATTTATAAATTCAGTTCAATTATAATTCTAAGTTTCATGGTTTGCATTGGCAAAACATGTATTTAGTCACTTTCCAAAATTTAGATACACCTTTTATTAATTATTTTTCACGAAGCTTACTTGGTTATTTGGATTAACTATAGTAAGTTGCGTGGTATGATATACTTCTTTTGGATTCCAATAATAAAATATATCTTCTGAGCCGAATTCCAACTTGGTTTTGGAAGGCGTATTTTATTATTTTAGTATGTCCAACTATGGTGGAGAATCATGTCCTCATTAATCATTCATTTAGTTGGACTATAATTGGAACCAAATATTGATTATTTAGTGTGCCCAACTAATGGTGGAGAATTATATCTTCATTATTTAGTTGGTCAAATCAATTATGAGTGTTATATCATTAATTTGGCTAAAGAATATCTTAATCAGTGGGAGTGATCATTTAGAAAAAGATCATTAAAATACTCCACTAAAGTTGATGGATTTAGTTGTTTTCATACATTCCAAATTGGATTGTGCGTCTAGCAATAAGTCCAAAAGTTTCCACAAGTATTAATTTTGTCTTTTGTTCTTATAATTCATAAGTTCATTTCATTGAACGTCTGGTTGTACAACATATTTATGAAAATGTTGTAACAATATTAATGAATTTATTAGAACGAAAATATTTAACTTGTGGTGCACTGCCAATTAATAAATTCTTTAGCAATTAACAGAGTCTTTAGTTTCTTCAAAATTGATCCTGGGCCATTTTTGGTTTGTAAGGCTCAAAACAATTTTGCAAGACCTATAAGTAAGACTCGTAATGTTCAATTAATTTCGAGGGGGACCTTGAGATTATTTGGGAAGTTGGTGTATGTTTAAGATTCCAAATTATTGACTTAGACCTTATGGTTTATGTCATTGGAATGTTTCTGTGACTTGACTATCTTTTGGGCTATCTTAATGAGTGGGAGTGACAGACGTGTCAACTCCAAGCTCTTAGCCGTTAGAGGTAGTGTTTATATTAACTTATAAACAAGTCATAGAATATAGTTAGCATTATGCTAATATTAAGAGATCTCTACTTAAGGCATGCTTCTAAGATTTTGGAGATCATACAGTGAATTTGGATGGTTTCTTCCTTCAGTTGTGCACATAATATATTTTGAGAAACATCCATTAAGGGACTAAGAATAAACGTTGGGTTTGTTCATAAAGAACCTAAGTTGGAGAATTTAAATGCATGTGATCATAGTAGATACTACTCACTTGATTAGTAGATGACGTATTACTATGGTTCTTGTATTTTGTTCTTTAATGAAGGTTGTGCCAGTACTTGCACCAAGTGGGAGAATGTAAGTATTTTTCCTAAATACAATATATTATAATATATTGTATTATTGGGTGGTTGTGGTGCAAGTAGGAGATTGAGTCAATTAGTGACTTAATCTGTTATGCAACTCAGGATATTCAGTTAAGCTTTAACTGAATATCTGCCTATGTTGATGGCATGTAGGCTTCTAAGCAAAATAGTCCTCCCACAGCTCCCGTGTTCAGGACACGCACCATCACGTATTCGGGAGAGAAGTGGTAGACAAAACGACACTAACCTTTATTCTGCAGGTTTACCATCTCGTGGCAATACCAACGGCTATGGCTGGGGATATTTGGGCGATCCTAAAGCTTCCGCTGTAACGAGGCAGATTACTCGTTTACTACAGTTTGTGTTAGTCTTAATATTATTATCTAACAGTCTTGATATACCAAAGTCTCCAACATGAGCAGTTAAGTCTTTGTCAAGCAGAATGTTACTTGGCTTTAGATCACAATGAATAACCGTCGGCTCACAATCATCATGGAGATAATGCAATGCAGAAGCTACATCAATTGCAATGTTTAACCTTTGAAGAACACTTAGAACGGTTGTCCTTGCATTAGATGAATGTGTATGCAACCACATATCCAAATCCCCATTTTCCATGAACTCATAAACCAAAGCTTTGAATTCATTACCTGCAAAATCACAACTCGAGCAGCAAGTTAAAATTGGAACAAGATTTCGATGGCGTATGTTCCTCAACACTTTACATTCTGCAAGAAAGCTCTTTGAAGCTCCATTTTTTAAAAGGTCAAGTACCTTCACCGCAATTGTTTGTTCTCCTCCACCTTGCTCAAATCTTCCTTTGTAAACAGAGCCAAAACTTCCCGAACCGATCAAATTTGTCTCAGAGAAACCATCAGTAGCTTGATGCAGGTCTCTATAAGGTATTTTGTAAAGCTTTTCAACTTTGGATGGCTTAGCTGACTCCATCCTTTTTTGCTTCCTCCAACACAATGTTAGAATAGCAATGAATGATGCAAACACCAGAGCCGAGCAGATACATGTGAAGATAACAATCATAAGCTTTAAATGATTTTTGTGTTTTGTTTTCTTCACATGACATGGAGGCAGCTTTAGCTCAGGTATACCACCACAAAGTTTTTTGTTTCCAACCAATGATACATGGTTTGCCTTAGCAAAAATTCCATTTGTTGGCACCTCACCTTCCAGATCATTGAAAGAAAGATTCAAATATTGCAAGAAAGAGAGGTCTTGGAGTTCTCTTGGTATCTCTCCTGTCAACTTGTTGTTTGAGAAATCTAAATGCCTAATGCCTTTTAGGGAAACCATAGAAGGTGGGATTTTTCCTTCAAAGTGATTGGCATGCATATCAAGATATTCAAGGCTCAAACAATCCCCTATTGTTTCTGGAATTTTGCCCGATAATTTGTTTCTAGAGATGTTTAAGGTATTCAGTTTCTTCAATTTGCCCACATCAGGAGATAACAGGCCAGTGAATGAATTACTAGAGAGGTCAAGGTACTTAGACAAAGATGGCAAATCAAAAATTTTTCCAAGAATGACGCCATCGAGTCTATTATGTGACAAGTACAATTCATTCAAATTCCAAAGGTTTCCCACACTTGAAGGTAGGTAGCCATCTAAGTTGTTGTGGTCCATAAATAGAGAAGATAAAGAGGTGATGTTAAAAAGAACAAGTGGTATTTTTCCAGAGAATTGGTTTTTTTGCAAGTCTAGTACTTGTAGATTTTTTAAGTCACCTATCTCACTAGGAATAACACCTGATAAATGGTTATCTTCTAGTTCTAAATCAATCAAGCTAGCTAGATTATTTATTCCTATTGGCATCGTTCCAGAAAACTTATTCCCCGCTAAACTCAAAAAAGAGAGTTTGGACGAGAGGTTAGCTACGGTGTTTGGCAATTTGCCTACAAATCTATTTCCAGCAATGGAAAATTGTGTTAAATCACTACAATTTGAAAGAGAGGTTATGAAAGCCAAGTCATTGCCACCAAGAAAATTGTATTGAAGGTTCAAACGCTGGAGATCTTTTAACCTCCCAATATCGTCTGGAACTTTGCCTACAAAATAGTTTTGTGATAACTCAAGAAGTTGAAGCTTAGAGGCATTGAGAAATGAAGTGGGGATAGTCCCATGAAATTTGTTGATACCAAAATAGAAACCTCTCAAGTTAGGCATGGTGTCTCCTATGGTGCTTGGAATGGTCCCTTGGAGCGAGTTTTGTGTAATTGAAAAGTTGATAATGGAAGTCATATTGAAGAAAGCAGAAGATAGTGTACCAGTGAGATTGTTAGCACCCAGTGAAAGCAAAAGCAAACCGCGACACTTTGTAATCTCTTCAGGAATGTTCCCCTCCAGATGATTATACTCCATTCCCAATCCTGAAAGGGATGAAAGATTCCCAAAAGATGGAGGGATTTCACCTGTCAATTGGTTTGCATCAAGAGAGAGACTTTGCAGCTTCTGCAAATTAGCTAGCTCGCCAGGGAGCTTCCCATGGAGGCCATTTAGGTAAAGGAAGATTTCCCTGAGTTGTAAGCAACTGCTAAGATTAGCCGCGAGTAGTTCTCCAGTTAGTGCGTTGACAGACAGGTCGAGAGATCTTAGTCGAAACAAACGACCAATCTCTCCTGGGATTTGGCCGGACAGCTTATTGGTACTGAGATTCAGTTGTCTGAGGAAAGTGAGGTTTCCTATGTGAGGAGATATGGTTCCGACCAAACCCATATCAGCAAGCCTCAATGCCACAACTCGTTGGTTTTGGCGACCGCAACTCACTCCTTGCCAGTGACAATGATGTTGGGAATCATTCCAGGAGTTAAGTAATACTCCATGGGAATCATCGAAAATCCGATGTTTAAAATCTATAAGGGCAATTCTGTCGGTTTCATTTGAGAACTGGAGAATTGTAGATACAGTGAAACTGGGGAGGATAACAAATACTAGGCAATAAAGAAGATGTTTCATCTTCTTCTTCAACTCAATGTGTTGGGTTTGGATACATAAAGCTTATGATAAACTAAGTTACTAATGAGTTGATATATACACACACATACTCTAAACTCCGCCACCATTCACGACTTCAAATTTTCTTACAACTTGCCTGACAACCTTCTCCCCCATTACACTAATTAAAACTTTTTATAGCAAGTTGCCTAACAAGATATGCACCATAATGACACAACTCCAACAAAGTTGGTTGGATAGTCGGCTTGTTAATCACAAAGTTCGGCTTTCTTAGCTTGTGAAATCTATCTATTTGTCTTTTTTTAAAATTGAACTGGTTAGATAGTCGGATTCCTTAGCTAATCACAAAGTTCAACTGATTTACCTCGTTGTGCTTCTTTATCGATCAGTTATAGTCACAAGACAGACTTTATCTAAAATGCAGCTTGCTTTGAATTTTTTGAAAATCAAAGATGGTCCCGAATTACATTTATTTAGTCCGAATTACATTTATTTAGTGGGTTTTGGATTCTTTAAAAAAAATGAACAAGTTGCACCATGGGTCCATGGGTGTGTCACTTTTCTTTTGGAGTATTAGATTTTATATATATAGTGCAGGAAGGATGGGATATTGCCATATTGGGATGTTCCGCCAAAATGGACTCAATCATCACCTTTTGGGATTTCTAATGAGCTGCTTTTTGACGTAGTTGGAAACCGGTGGCAAATACAACGTGCGACTTTAGCTTTCCCTTTTAGTTTTATATTTGAGTCTCTTTATATATATATATATATATATATATATATATATATATATATATATATATATATATAGGATCATATGAGAACACTTGCTTAGGTGAGAACGTGAGAACAAATCGTGTGCATCCATCTAATATTTTTTAATGATCTAGATTAGATTATGTGTGTGCGAACGCGAATTGAATGTCTAAAAACACAATTAAGAAAATTTTTAGGTCCCGTTTAGTTTGCGGAAAATATTTGAAAGAAAATAGAATTGGAATTTCATAGAAAAGAAATCATGAGTTTGAGTCTCAATGGAGTAATATTGAGTATTTACGCATCAGTAAATTGAGAAAGTAGTTATCAACACAAATATATTATACTACGTATAGAATGGGGAAAGAAGAAAACAAAAGTAAGTAATTTAGTAATCATGAAAGTCATCCTTTCAGATTGGCAATGCCGGTCCGAATACTACGTATAGAATGGGGAAAGAAGAAAATAAACTTTGGTCCTTCAACAATTATTGGATATTGTAAATTATTGGTACCAACTCTCCACTAATGAGCTGGCTTCTGCAGTGGTGCTAGGGTCTTAACACAAGAGAACAATGTATCATTTGGTGCTCGATCTTGTTCAAAAATAATGCAAGAATTTTCATCGCAGTTCCTATGCATTTTTAGTTAGTTGAACAGTTAGCTTGGTAACCACAAGATTCCAAATTCGACTCTCTGTGTGTTTTGTATACTGATCTTCTTGATTTCAGTCGATTAGCTATCGGTTACTACCTAAATTATTGGTTTACTTCGTTATGGTTCCATGCTAGCTAAGGTCACAAGTTGTGCTATGATAAGGGTGTTTAACGTCCAATAATTAACAATCATAATTATTTCATGATATTTAGACCATTTTTTCCTACATTGTACGTTTTGTAAATAATAAATAATTTTTTTTTCAAAACGATGGATCAGTATACATGGACTGACAGTTAATGATTGAGTTAAGTCAATTTAACAAGACATTAATCTGACATTATTGTACTTGAACTAAAATACAAATTTTAAACCAAACAACACTTAATAAAAGAACATAGAAACTATTTGCAGCCTGTTCCCCATGATACAACAAAAGAAGAATCCAAGAAAAAGTTTACATCAAAAGAAATTTAGAGCACCATATATTAGGAAAATTGAAAAATTAAACAAGCTTACAACAAAACAAAAGAAGAATCCAAGAAAAAGTTTACATCAAAAGAAATTTAGAGCACCATATATTAGGAAAATTGAAAAATTAAACAAGCTTTTCTTAGTTGCTAGCTAGTTTATCACCCATGGAGATATTGTATGTCACAGGACATGCTTGCTTAATTTTATGCAAAGAAGGCCTTCTTAATCTTCTGTAATTCCCTGCTCACTTCATTCATATGCATGCGATCCATTGGTGATATTGAAGCACAAGTGAGTCCAATTTTGAAGATGGAGAGAAAGAAATTATGCACCTTGCTCTCTTCAATTTCCACCAAATTGCCATGATTCTCCAACTCTACATCCGGTGATATTCCATGACTGCTTTCTAGGCATGCTGAAAGCAATGGGTCTACTATCTCTATCACTTCCTCTAGCAACGCCATCTCCACATACTCACAAAGACTGTTACATTCACCATTGAATAAATCATCCGTGGGTCTTTTAGCTGTGAACATTTCCAATAAAAGGATTCCAAAGCTATACACATCTCCAAAAGTTGATGCATTTGCTCCTATCCCGTACTCTAAATTAATCCAAATTATTTGTGAAGAAAAACAAAGCAAATGAAAAAAAAAAAATTAATATAGCATTTTAATTTCATAGCTTGGGAAAGAACTTCTTCAACATAAGATATTGTATATGAATGAGTTTTTCTCTTAAGGTAGCTATGGAAACATGTGGTAATGTTTTATTGACAATATCTTACCTGGTGGAATATAACCAATTGACCCCTTTAATCCAATGGTACTAGTTTGTTCACCAATTGGATCTCCAATTGTATGTGAATAAAGCCTTGAGATTCCAAAGTCTCCCACATGAGCAGTTAAGTCTTTGTCAAGAAGAATGTTACTTGGCTTTAGATCACAATGAACAACTCTTGGTTCACAATCATCATGGAGATAATGCAACGCAGAAGCAACATCAATTGCAATGTTTAGCCTTTGAAGAACACTTAGAACAATTGTCCTTGTACTAGATGAATGTGCATGCAACCACATATCCAGATCCCCATTTTCCATAAATTCATAAACTAAAGCTTTGAAGTCATTACCACCAAAATCACAACTCGAGCAGCAGGTCAAAATAGGAACAAGATTTCGATGGCGTATGTTCCTCAACACTTTACATTCTGCAAGAAAACTCTTTGAAGCTCCATTTTTTAGAAGGTCAAGTACCTTCACCGCAATTGTGTGTTCTCCTCCACCTTGCTCAAATCTTCCTCTGTAAACAGAGCCAAAACTTCCCGAACCGATCAAATTTGTCTCAGAGAAACCATCAGTAGCTTGATGCAGGTCTCTATATGGGATTTTGGAAAGCTTTTCAACTTTGGATGGCTTAGCTGACTCCATCCTTTTTTGTTTCCTCCAACACAATGTTAGAAAGGAAATGACTGATGCAAACACCAGAGCCGGACAGATACATGTGAAGATAACAATTAGAAGCTTCGAATGTTTTCTATGTTTTGTTTTCTTCACAGGGCATAGAGGTAGCTTTAGCGCGGGTATACCACCGCATAGTTTTTTGTTTCCAAGCAATGATACATTGGTTTCCACGGCAAACACTCCAACCGTTGGTACCTCCCCCTCAAGATCATTGAAAGAAAGGTTTAAATATTGCAATAGAGGGAGCTTTTGGAATTCTCTCGGTATCTCTCCAGTTAACTTGTTGTTTGAGATGTCCAAATGCCTCATACTTTTTAGGGAAACAAAAGAATGTGGGATTTTTCCTTCAAAAAGATTAGCATGCATATCAAGATATTCGAGGCTCAAACAATCTCCAATTGTTTCTGGAATTTTGCCCGATAATTTGTTTCCAGAAATGTGTAACTCATTTAGTGTTTTCAATTTCCCTAGGGCAGGAGATAATGGACCAATAAATGAATTACTGGAGAGGTCAACGGCGTTAGACAAAGATGGCAAATTGAAAACTTCTTGTGGAATTATGCCATTGAATTTGTTATGTGACAAATCCAAAAAATACAAATTCCAAAAGTTTTCCACGTTTGAAGGTATTTTGCCCTCTAAATTGTTGCTATGAATATCAAGTTCAGCTAAAGAGGTGAGGTTATACAGAGTAGATGGTATTTTTCCCAAGAATTGATTTCGGTATAACCACAAACCTTGTAGCTTTTGCAACTTACCAATCTCGCTAGGAATAACACCTGATAAAAGGTTACTATCTACGCCCAAAAAGATCAAGCTAGCTAGATTTTTTATTCCTATCGGTATTGTTCCAACAAACTTATTATCTCCTAAAGTTAAAAAAGTGAGTTTGGAAGAGAGGTTAGCTATGCTATTTGGCAGCTTACTTTCAAATCTATTACCCCTAATTGAAAAGGAATCTAAATCACTACAATTTGATAGAGAGGTTATAAAAGCTAAGTCATTCCCACCAAGCAAATTGTACTCAAGGTTCAAATTCTTAAGATCTTTTAACTTCCCAATGTTATGTGGAACTTTACCTACCAAATAGTTGTTTGAAACATCAAGCATTTGTAGCTTAGAGGCATTGGGAAATGAAATGGGTATGGAACCATGGAATTTGTTGCCATCAAAATAAAAAACTTCCAAATTTGGCATGCTGTCTCCTATGTAGCTTGGAATGGTCCCTTCAAATGAGTTATCAGTCACTGAAATCTTCATCATGGAAGTGATATTAAACAAAGAAGAAGATAGCTTACCAGTTAGGTTATTGCTACCAAGTGAAAAGATTTTTAAATCCCAACACCCCCTTGCAATCTCCTGAGGAAAACTCCCCTCCAAATCATTATCTTCCATGCCCAATACTTGAAGCGATGAAAGGTTCCCTAAAGCCGCAGGGATTCTACCTCTCAATTGGTTTGTACCCATGAAAAGTGCTCGAAACTTCTTCAGTTTGGCTAAGTCTTGTGGGATCTTCCCTTGAAGGGCATTTATAGAAATGTCCAGAAACCAGAGATTTGAGCAGTTGCTAAGGTTAACCTTAACTAGCTCTCCTGTCAGTGAATTGATGGATAGGTTAAGGTACCTTAGACGAAACAAAGAACCAATTTCTCCCGGAATTTCACCGGAAAATCCATTCCCACCAAGCTCAAGAACCTTGAGGAATGTGAGGTTTCCAATGCGAGGAGATAGGGTTCCCACCAAGCCCATATCAGGAAGCCTCAGCTCCACAACTCTTTGGTGTTTGCGGCCACAACTAACTCCTTGCCAAGAACAATGGTGCAAAGAGTCATTCCAGGAGTTAAGAACTACTCCATGTGGATCATCAGAAATCCGGTGTTTAAACTCTAAAAGGGCAATTCTATCGGTTTCATTTGAGTAGAGAGTAGCTGATGATGATACAAAGGAAGTGGAAATTATGCAAAACAGAAGATGGAGAGTACAAAGCGCAGATGATGAGAGTGAGAGGGTTTTCTCACGGGTCATCTTCTTCATCACCTCCATTTCTGATCTACAATTCAAAAAGATAGAATGGGATTTAGATAAACAAGAGAGGGATGTGTGTTTTCTCACAGGGTGTATATTATATTGTTTATATAGACATGCTAAATCAAGAATCTGATATGCGTGTAAATTGGTAAGTTGAAAACCGGAGGAGCCAAATACTATACGCTTCCCGGTCCATACTCCATCAATCTCTGAAACACAATAAATTGAGTTTGAAATTTTATCAATTGTTCTTATGTTTACCACTTCTTTATCTTTTTTTTTTTTTGTAACAAAGGAAACCCGTAGTTACAATCAGATAATTTGCACGTACAGCATCCCCAATACGGGTTCGTTGTGAGTTTTTAATGACTTTTTTGGTGGGGGGCGGAGGGAACAAATCGAGAGTATTTGGAGAAAAAAAGTAATAAATGTATTGTAGGAATGTGAGTTTTCTCTAGGCTTCACCACTAAAAATAAAAAATAGAAAATTATATTTTGGACCATGATCCATATTGTGATTTGGACTATGAATAAATGTACACTTTTACTATATTGAATGTACATTATTTGTGTAGTGAATGTATATCATTAGTAGTATATCAAATAATGTACCTATCAAAAAAAGAGCATTTAGTGTACTAAAAAGTGCTTTTAGTATCATAAAAATACACCTTAAGTCTGTGATTCACGCACTTTATAATGGTGCTTTTAGGGCATTCCCAAAAGGAAATTTTGGAGAGATTTTGGAACAGTAAAATGGATCTTCACAAATGGAAAGGTTAGTTTTTTTAGGGGATTTTGTTCCTGCAAAATGGAGTTCAAACTGGTCCCACTTGCATAGATTAAAGAAAGCCAAAGGAGTTGCAGGCGCGCCTGTTGTGCCCAGCTAGCGCGTGCAGTGCAAGCTGGGAGCGTGAATAGACTTTTTTTTTTTTTTTTCATGTCAGGCTTTTTTATTTTTTTTGCTTTTTTCCCCTCCCTTTTTCTCTTCCCTCTACCCTCTCTCTCCTATATGGCTATGACAAAATTCCTTAAAAATACCTTAGCTCACTATTGAGGTTGCCCTTAGTATCATAAAAATAAGAACACCTTACAATGTGATTCACTTTATAATGGTGCTCGCCAAGTTAGCCGCCAACGGACTACTTTTTCTTTATCCGCTTCTCACTCATTCCTAATAAGAAGGAAAAGAAAACTTCACACTATTGGGAATGCTCTACGGTGGACTCTTGTGAAATAACAAGAAAGGGTAAACCACACTATGAAAATTTGTATAATGAGCTTAGAAAATTATGTTTCACCACTTAGTCAAATGTACCCAACATTTTAAATGTATTACACCAAAATATTTTTTGTTTTGAGAACCAAAATATTATTTTTTATTTATGTATGAATATTATATTACAAATAGTATTAAATTTATTTCAATAAATAGAGTCGAGATCACCTCCAATTCAAAATTTTCTGATAAATTAAAAGTGTTTGACACGTTGATGCTAGTCGCTAGACTTTAAATTTAAAGTCAAACAATTCAATACTTTCTGGTCCGATCCACATTATATTGTTCAATCTATAAGCCACGACCAATGTGACACTCAGTTTCACATTAATGCATGTTCAAAACTATTTAGGGAAAAAACAAAATGCTATTTCCGATAATAAATTATCTATATTGATTAATTACTCATTACTGGTCAACTTTACATCAAAAAGTGTGACCAAGTGAACGAATCATGATTCTAATAATAAAAAGTCACAAATTTAACTTTTTTCAACACCTTCTTAATCGAGCGCATAGGTAAATATCATGTCAGGAATCATATATGGATGAATGTCATGATCATATAATAGCAAAAAATAAAAATGTATGGACATTGCCAAACACCTTTTTTTTTTTGAAAACCAACCGCGAAAGGTTATAGCCCTTTGAAATGGTTCTTGAAAAGCTATGTCAGTATCAAGAATGCCATGGAGAATCGGCATAAACAGCCCTAACATATCTTCAGTTTTTTTATAATATTTATGAACCAGTTCACAGTCTATGTTCTCCAGTGCTGACATATGAAAAAGGCTGTTTAATAAAGAAATCTCCATCCCACCACCTGTAAGATCATTAGCATCACCAATTGTTATTAAGAATGTTCACTCATCATTAAAAAAATAAATTTAGGCTAAAGGGGTGTTTGGTAAATAGCTTAGCCGATAGCTGTTACATGATTGAGTTAATGGGTTTAACTAGTTCATAACATTAGCTAATTGTAGAAAAATGTTTGATAAATTAGCTGTTAGTTAATAGCTTATTACATGGAAAATGACTTTCTCAAGAAGCTGATGGAAAAAGTTGTTTTGAGCCACTTTTTGAATTTTAACATTTTGGAGTAATAAGCTGTTACAAAAAAACTAATTAATCAAACACTTATATTGATTATTTAACAAGTTAAACAGCTAATAGTGATCAAATAAGTTAAAATTAACTGATAAGCTAACTATGTTACGAAACATGACCTAAATATTCACCATCTACGCAATATGCAAACATTTGAGCTAAATGTTCATTTAAACTCATAGCAATGGCTAATATGTCTTGTGTTCTGAAGAACCATCAAAACAATCCCGCAAGACGGGACGGGCCAAAGCCCTCCCCCGGAGCGGGGCGGGTTTGGAAGGTGGACGGCCTAGCCCGGCCCGCCATGCCAAAGTCCACCGGTGGGGCGCGGCGGCCTGCTATACAATTTTTTTTTTTCTGATATGTTGGAGTATTTTGGTCATATTTTTATCATATAGAGTCCAATTAAGATGATTCAAGTATCAATGGGAAGATAAGAAATTCTTCTATAATTTTCATGTTGAACACTTTGAGAGATTTCAGACGCATTGATACTAAAAAATCATAACATTCAGACACGCCCTGAGGAATATGTCCTACAACATGTTGATAGTTTTTTGATCATATCTCCTTCATATGTAGTCCAATCAATGCAAAGTGGATATGAAAAACTAAGAGAGTTTCATACAACTTTTACGTTCAAAGTTGTCATATTCGGAGCAGAACAACTCCAAAACTAAGCCTGAAGTTTGACGCACCCAAGCTACTGAGTTAAAATCTTTTTTTATAGTAGCAGGTGGCGGGCTAAACCCGCAACCCACCTGGGCTCGTGACCCAAGGCAGGACAGGCTAAAAAACTCGCCTCTTGACTAGTTGAACATTCGATGAACCCTCCCCCTCCCTACCTATGAGGCTACAACGAGACGGGGCGAGTAGACCAAACGGAAAAAGCTATCTTCTTTACTTTCCTAAAACTATGAAATTCAAAAAGAAGATAGATATACAAAGACATATTCTCAGAATTGCTAGATTATTGGGAGGACTTAGGAGTTTAATATTAGAGTAAGACTATAATGAAACATCTTAGTTTGAGAAATTTCATCAATAATATATTTGGCTATCAACTCATATCTGATCTGGTTATTAGCCATCCACTTGATAGGCAGTACCATGTTGATAAGAGTGAAAGCTTGAAATATTCAGGAATCTAGTGGTTGAAGATCATTATTTGAAATACCCACACACAAATAACTTTTTTTTTGCCAATGACCTTGTGATCAGGTAACATGAAGTGACTCTCCCAAATGGGAGGTCATGGGTTTATGTCAGGAGGCGCTTACCTAAAAAGGAGGGCACTTCAGCTCCTATGTACAGTAGACCTTGTAGATGATGACTTGGTTTCTCCGAAATACCTAATCCTACCTCAGAATACAACACAGGCCACAGGGGCTCTATTTCACATCACTTGGTTAGAACAGAAAGACATCATGGACAGAGTGCAAAGAACAGAACAAACCAAATACAGGGAATGATAACAAAGCAACCAAAGTCCAGAAAGAATCACCAGATTAAACGGAGTACTAATCCCAAATCAAACTCATAAATTATACGAATCTGTAACCTCTCCAGTGCTCAAGTACGCAAAACAAAATTACAAAATACCCTCATCAAAAGGGTTGGGGTAAGTTTGGGTTCAAGCAACCCTCATCTAAAATTTAATTATTCAAAATGCATAATAAAAACTTCAGCCTGAATGAATTCTTAAATTGCGACAGATTTTCGTCACCATATAACTATGCTACTGAAAAGAGACGCGACCGAACTTATGCCCCACCAGAGCCATACTTCTTTCCGAAAACTATTAACTGAAGCTTGTCATACCCGGCCAACACACCAGCACCAGCAATAGCACGCAGGATATTTGCACCAGCACCCTTGAAGAGAGATTTCGCACCTTCATTCTTAAGAATCTGAGCAAAAGCATCAAGAGAGCTCTTGTACTTGACAGCTTCACCAGATGTCATCATCATTCTTCTGCGGACAGTGTCAATTGGGTAAGAAGCAAGACCAGCACCATTTGTGATGACCCATCCGAGAGCAAAGCTAGCGAAGAAACTATCCTGTAACAGGTTTATAGAAGTGTCAGCATCAGGAAAAATCCTAAACTAGATGCAGTAAAGAACAGAGAAAGAAAGACAAACCTGTAGGTCTCCAGTCAAGACAACTGGCTTAATGGAGTCATACAGTCCAAAGTACAACCCACGATACACAATGATACCAACACATGAAATGTTGAATCCTCGGTAGAGTCCAGCAATACCATCAGAAGCAAGGGTCTTTCGGTAGACATCAATCAAACCATTGAACTGTCTCTCACCTCCCTTCTTAGCAGCCTTGGCATCATTTGCAAGACGGGTACGAGCATAGTCCAAGGAGTAAACAAAAAGTAATGAGGAAGCACCAGCAGCACCACCTGATGCAAGGTTTCCTGCAAACCATTTCCAGTAGCCATCACGGTCCTTCTTGAAGTTGAAGAGCCTCTTGAAATAATCCTTGAATGCAAAGTTCAAGGCCTACAAGAACAACAAAAATTAATTAGCCAACCATTGTCCAAAAAACAAGCAACAAATTGCTTTAAAAATTTTCAAAAATGGTGATACCTGAGTGGGGAAGTAACGAATGACATTAGCAGTGTTTCCTCTCCACAATGAGGCAAATCCTTCATCCTTAATAGTTCGACTGAAACATTCACCAATTCCCTTATAAGGCTCAGACAGTCTGCCGGTTTTAATCATCTCATCTTGGTTTTGAATCAAAAGCTTGACGCGCTCAATTGGGGCAGCTGCAGTCTTTGATACAGCAGCTGAAACTCCACCCATTAGGAAGTCAATAGCAAAGCTGGCAAATCCCTTCTCAGCAGGAGCCTGAACAAATACCGGTGAAGCATTTGCAGTAATCAATGACAAATCTTGGGTGGCTTTGCACGACTGAGTCATTGGATACTGTAATCCAGCAGAGCTGTAGTTTCCATAAGCAAAATGCCTCTGGTTGAGAACCGGCCTTTGCATGCCGCCATAGCGTGTTTGAGCATCTTGGAAAACATTTGAGCTCAGATGGAGCTGGGAAGCTACCTTCTGAGCAACAGTTGGGTGTTGATACATATCAGCCATTGCTTTTCAGAACAATCTCCTGCAAAGATGCAAACTTTCAATCACTAAAACCTAAATACTCTGTATTATTCAAAAAAAATCTAGCACATAATTGAATTATACAGTCTACCAAACAATCCACATCTAATACATCTTCAGCGTGCACAGACTAACGTTTGAATATCATTATATCAATCACTCCTTAGTAAGACACATCTATGAACCATTACATAAGACTTGCTCAGAACAATGAAATAAAAACTGAGCAGATGCGTGTCTGACGTAGAAATAAAATAGTACAGTATACGGAGTACAGCTATACCAGATGCGAAATAAACAGAGATCATTCCGAGAAAACGGGATCCTCGACTACAACTACTATTAACACAAATTACAACAACAAAGCATCAAAACTCAAAAATTAAACTAAGATTCACAGATCTAAACAAGCAAAGCATGTTTCACGGACAGATCTACAGATTCAAGCAAATATTCCTACCGCGAGTCCACGCCTCGAAACGAAGCGGAAATCAGGCAAAACACATCCGAGAAAAAGCTGAATAAACTCACAGATCCAGAACTAAAGCAAGCGAAAAGCATATAAAAGGACAGTGAAGAGACTATGACGGAGATGCACGGATGGAAATCCGAATTCCGGATATATATGTATATGTATCACCGATCAAATCTCATTCCAGAGTTATAGAGAGAATGGAAGGGAATTGTAGAGAGAGAGAGAGAGAGAGAGATACCTGCGTTCGACTCGCTTGGTGGTCGCAGAAAGGAGGAGACAACAGCGGAGGAGAGAAGAACGAGAAGCTAGCGAGAGAGAGAGAGTCTAAGGCCGAGTATATAACGGGTGGTGCCTAATGGTAAGAGATTTTTTTTTACACGTGAGTTTACTTTGGTCACAGGCGAAATTTTAATACCTCAATTTTTTTTTTTTTTACGCTATTGACTCAAACACAAAGAGTCAAACCTATTGAAATACAAAAAATTAATAATATTTTCATTGAAATTCGATCTCGAGATTAATACTTAAAAGGTAACTGGGAAGTTAAACTCATAATTTATAATTATAAATTATAAATTTGTATTATTAATTAACTTGATTGGAGTTATTTCAGATAAAATTATTATTTTGTTTGTTGCCTAAAAATATTCTTACAATCGATAGTTAAAAAAACTCATCTATGTTTCTACTGTCAGCAATAGGGAACTGGCCAAATGATTTGTTTCATTCACATAATAAAATTATCGTTTTGTTTTTCGTTGGAACATTTCCCAAGGAAAATGATTTTATTGGCCAGCGACTCCACTAGGAAAATTCGTGGATTTGAGCCACAATTTCGGAAAAAGGGGAAAAGGGAGAATTCCTTGCGTTGTTGTCCAAGTCTGACAGCTTAAGATTTTTCAATAATCAATTCAAATGATGGGATGGGCTGATTAAGTATTAATATATTAATTAATGTATAATAATATATTTAGGAAGTTGGCTCTTGCCCTATTGACGATTCTTTGGTTTGATAGTTAACGTTGATGGTTGACCATGCCTTTAATATTTGAAAAGAGTGGAGGAATTTATACACCATATGATGATGTATATAAGCATGCAAGTGATACATCAAAATTTAAATATTAAAAGTATGTCATGATTTTCGTACTAAAAATTACAAATTCAATTATTGTCAACCTTCTCTCAATTAAGTTCTTCATGTATAATTTTTATAATATGGAGTAATTTATTTTTTTAATGTGGTTTATGAATTATTACACAATAACAAGTGATGATAGAAATGGAGATCGAACATTTATAATATAAGGAATGGATAATCTTTTGTCCTTCTAGGCAAGTGGATGCTAAATTGGCAAAGTCGCAACAGGCAACTTGCATTTTCTGTCTAAACTCAAATTTGAGACCTTAATGATACCATCACCACAAATTGTTAAAGATACAACTTTAAACCGCTTGTTTTAGTTCAACAGTTTGAGGCAGTTAATAAATAACTGCTAATGAAATTGTAAGTTTGCAACACAATAGTTGATAATCTACCTTTAGATCCTTTGCTATGTAATTCTCGATAATAATATTATGTTTTTGTTGAAAAAAAAAAAAAAAAAAAAAAAAAGTGATTTCCCCCCTACCATAATTGAAGAAAGTGCATTTAAAGAACAGGATATATACAAAATCCAAGTATAAGTCTAAATACCCATAACAACTACAGCTAGAAACTGTATTAGTCGAGTATTCAGAGGCTATTTTTCTTCTCTAACTTGCACAGTTGCACCAATGGGTGAGAAATGCACTATTATTTGTTCATTGTTTGGTCTCATGCATTTATTATCTGATCTACAAGTTAGCAGTATCATGTATACTGTAAATAACTTACTCTTAGAATCAACCTTGAATGCGCAGAGGTTTCTTGTAGGACTGCAGAAGAAGCGATGAAGATACCACGCTGATAGATGATGCAGCCATGCAGGCACCGGCAAGCCATGGAGGCAGGCGGATTCCGGTGAAGGGGTATAAGACCCCTGCAGCGACGGGCATGCCCAGGATATTGTATCCAAGTGCCCAAACATAGTTGAGTCTGATACGCGAAATGGTCTTTCTGGAGAGGTCTATTGCTGTGATAACGTCTTCAAGGTTGTTCTTGATGAGAACTATGTCTGCAGCTTCGATGGCTACATCAGTTCCCGCACCAATTGCCAACCCAACGTCTGCTGCTACTAATGCTGGCGAGTCGTTTATGCCATCCCCCACCATTGCCACGCTTGTGCCTCTCAACTGCATCGGGGTGGTAATGTTAGATAAAACTTGGGGTGTGTTAAGAGTCCCACATCTATAAAATAAGAGAGAACATATGGGTTTATAAGGCCATGGGTTAGACTAGCTAATTGGTTGGATTCAATCTTTTAGTGTGGTTTGGCCCATGTGCAGTACAGCCCAGTTGAGTGATTATGACTCAATCTTAAATTATAACATGGTATCAGAGCTTGTTCGGTTTGGTCCAATTTCAAGTGGTCAACGGGTTTGGGCTTTACAAGGTATAGCCCAGCTGAGTGACTATGACCCAATCTTAAATTATAACAGGGTGAAATTGCATTTAGTATATGCAGAAAAGAGGTTTACCTGCAATTCTCTGATCTTATCGGCTTTCCCCAAAGGATCTGTCTCAGCAAACACAGTCTCAATCCCAACTTCCTTTGCTATAGCGTTTGCAGTTGCCCAGTTATCACCTGTCACCATGACACTCGCGATTTTCATTGAGTGGAGAAAAGATATTACACGGGCAGCCTCGGGCTTCACTGGATCAGTTACAGCAAAGGCTCCAGCAACTCTTCCATCAATGGCAACTAACACACAAGTACGGGCAAGCTGCTCGTTCTCATAAATGTATTTATCAACCTCATTCCCAACTGGAACATTAGAAGCACTCATAAGTCTCTTGTTTCCAACCAAGACTCTTCTATCTCCAACTTTTCCACTAACTCCAGCTCCTAAGTGCACCTCAAAGTCCTCCACATCAGGAAAATGCCCATTTTCGGTCCCAAATTTCTTGCGTAGACTTTTGGCATGCTCCACAACAGCTTTTGCAATTGGATGTTCACTGTTCACCTGAAGATTGGACCAGTTTTGAGTTAATATTATATATATTTCATACAACATAAAATAAAATAAAGCCTTACCTCGGTAGCAATGGTTAAATCACAGAACTCCTCCATAGAAAATTCAGAGAAAAGCACAGCACTGACAACAGAAGGTTTCCCAACGGTCAATGTTCCGGTCTTATCAAAGACAACCATTTTGATCTGCAAGAACCATTAACAATCAACTTGAGACTTTAGCTGGCAAATTAGTTACTTGCTTGGGTAGATTTTCAATCTGAGACTAACCATACAAATTGCATTCTGGTATAAAGAGCAACATAGAGGGTTAATTCATAAGAAAACAAGATGGATTTTGTTCGATTTTGAGTTCTCGATTTGATTTCTTGAATAATACACAAAAGTCCCTATTTACACAGAAAATTTGATTAAAGTTGAATTACTTAAATTTTTTGTGCCATTCAACAACTGGCTATTTATCAATTATCAGACTGTAAATTAAAACAAGGTTTGCATACCTTATGTGCTTTCTCAAGAGCACTTCCACCCTTGATAAGCACACCTTGAGAGGCTCCCTTTCCTGTGGCAACCATGACTGCAGTGGGAGTTGCCAATCCAAGAGCACAGGGGCACGCAACCACCAATACTGATATACCAAATTGCAATGCAAGCTCAAATTCATCCATGCCTTCTGGTATCCACCTTTTGGAATAAAGACCCAATGCTCCAGGAATGAACCATGCCAACCATGTTACAAATGCAGCTACAACAACCTGACAGACCATTACAGATATTAACTTCAGCTTTCAAATGATCTTTAAAGAAATAACATCTTCAGTTGCAAAATTATAAGAACAGTGCGTAATCATGTACTTTCAATGGGAAAGCTTTCAGATTCAACCTCACCAATTCAAATCAAAGATGTTGATAATTCTCAAAAATTGAAAAACAACTAAATTGTGTGCAGTGGTACAGAGAATCCTGAAAACTCTTATGACAAATAACTTGTCATATTTTTATTCCAACTATGATATGCCACAGCATGAATAACATATCCCTAACACACAAACATACCGTTGGTACAAAAAATCTTGATATCTGATCTGCCAGCTTTTGAACAGGTGCTCTCGCAAGCTGAGCAGCTTCAACTAATTGGACAATTTGTGAAAGAGCAGTCTCGGAACCCACATGAGTGGCCTTAATCAATATACATCCATTCTCATTCACTGTCCCACCTATCACCTAATAGTTACACAATGTTACTTGCATACATATAAAAAGGAAAACAAAATTCATTGTCTCTTATTCATGACTAAGCCAATCCATTGCAAATATACGATGCATACCTTATCACCAATCTTTTTAGCAACTGGCCTTGCTTCTCCTGTGATCATACTCTCATTCACATGACTCTGACCATTAATAACTACACCATCAACAGGAACCTTTGCCCCTGGGACAATTTTAAGTATGTCATCCTTTTGTATAAGTTGAGTGCTCATTTCAATCTCCGATATGATATTTCCAGCTCCATCAAGTGTCAACAGGTGGGCTGATTCAGGAGCAAGGTCAGTTAACTTCGCCAAAGCATCAGATGTCTTTCCTTTGGCCAGAACTTCAAGATATTTTCCTAAAAGAATGAAGGAAATCAACATGGCACTAGTCTCGAAGAAATCTTGCCCCTCAAACGAATATGAAGTCAATGCTTTTATCATTATGTATATAGAATAGAAGTAAGCAGCATTGGTGCCCAATGCCACCAGAACATCCATATTTGCAGATTTTCGTCTAAGTGCATGATATGATCCCACATAAAACCTTCAAAAAATTCAAATAAATCATATCAGTTGTTTACCTATCAAAAGTTATTTTTTTTTAAAAAAAATGGAAGATTAAACAAGGCCTCTGCAGATTGCAACAGTTGGAGCAACAAAGTATACCTTCGGCCAATTATAAACTGCACTGGGGTGCAAAGGATCCATCTCAAAAGTACGCCAACAGTGAGCATATTTAAAACCTTATAGTCTAACCAATTCCCATAGGGCGGAAGCATCGGAAGCACCATAGAGAATACAAATATTGGAATTGAGAATAGGCAGCTATACAGAAACAAATTCTTATACATTTGGATTTCATGTTCTCTCTCTGTTTCACGTCCCCTTGGTGGAGTGTACAGGCTTGCATGATAAGCATTGGTTCCATGACCAGCTTCTTCAATGCACTGAATAAGAGTTCGAGGACCAATTGTATCAGCTTCATAACTAATTGTAACTATATTCCCTTGAAAGTCCATTTCAACCTGATTTACACCTTCCAAAGACTCAAGTGAAAGTTTAACTTCATTCCACTGATCCATAGAATTGATTCCTTCTAGTTTAAAATGTATTTTACTTGAATCACAACCTGAGCTTATGAGATCAGCTCCAAAGCCAGAATCTTCTATTGCTTCAACAATGGAGCTAGTGTTGGTAAGATTTGGATCATAGTGGACTTTAGCTTCTTCAAGAGCTAAACCAACAACAGCTTTCTTCACTCCATCAGCCATCAATAGTGCTCGTTCTACAGATTCAGAACAGCTTGTGCAAGCCATTCCTTTGATTCTGATTCGACATACTGCAATATCTTGCTCCGGGAACTCATTTACTTCAAAGCCTGCATCTTCTACAGTTTCTTTTATCTTCAATGCCTGAGATAGACTGAAAATTTTAGTAATTTGACTTAAAATAATATCATGTACAACATTCAGATTAAGTTTCCCGGCATCAAAACTGAAAATGCAGATAGGAAAAAAATAAAAATAAATAAAAAACTAATATCAAGCTCAGTGTAAGAAGCTGAGTGCATAAAAAATAAAGTTGTTTTGACCTTCAAATTGGCTAAAGTTTCATTTATACAACTCATGAACAAGCTACTTAAGAATTCCAAGTGAAATGCCTAAATTTCCATCAACCATTATGCTATTATCATAAAAACAACAAACTTGATATCTATACTCGTAAAGACAACATACGCTGATAAGTTCTGGTACAAATTTAACAACAGCTTGGCCCTGGAGAGGAGACACCATAATGCTCTGGATCCCATCTAGCCTTCCTACTGCAGTTTCTATTGATGTGGCACAAGATGCACATGTTATGCCACCAACTTTGAAGGTTAGAGTCCTAACTTTCTTCCCTCCATCAGCATTTGTCTGAGGAATAGTGATTGCCACACCATTTGGCTGCTGCAGAAGTGGTGTTTTCAAGCCTTCCTTACCATCAGCACCCATCTCTTCTCCTATAAACTTCAAAACCGTCACCAGAAATACAAATCAAGTAAATAAAACCCCAAACACAATTCAAATGTAAATCAATTTTAGCATACAAAAACAGTGAGCTCACACACACACAAAAGACATTAGTGGCCTTTTATTGATATTAGCTGCAAAATATCAAAACCAGTGAACCCAGTTCAATCATACTTCAATTTATAACCATAAATAAAAAAGATGTCATCTTTCACCAATTAGCTGACTTCAACTGGAAAATATTTCTTAGCAGAAGAAAAATGGAAATGAAACAATAACCATGACAAGCAATATAACAGAATCAACACAAGAATTTTTTTTTTAAAATCTAGTAAAACTAAGCAAATCATCTGCAAAACATCAACTCCTCCGTCCATTCAGTCAAATAACACTTAAAAAAAAAAAAAAAAAAAAGTAGAATATTTATACAAATCCCAAATCAACATTTTAAACAATCAAATCAACAACATACCAAAAGAAAATATCTAATCCGGCCCCTGTAGCAAGAAAGTCCACGAGGACCACGACACAGTAAAGCCACAAAGAGAAATATAAAGACGACAGAGTAAAACTAACTTCGCTTTCTCTCAATAAGACGATAACCGATCAAGCATCAAATAATACTTACTAGTTAATTCTTTAGGGTTTGAGATTTAAAAAAAAAAAAAAAAATACAGAACCAATCAAACTTTCCTTTTCCGATGTAAAGCAAAACAAACAAAAAAACAAACAGTGATAAATGGATAAGGCTATGTACTTTATGGCGGTTGATGAGTGGAGAAGAAGACAGCAAAAAAGCTGAGAAGCTCAGGCGGAGCTTGCTTTGTGGTTCGTGCGCTTGTAGGTGAGGAGAGAGATTGGGGAAAATTGAAATTCAAAGAGTTGTCATTTTATAGTGGTGCGCTATTAGGGTTGAGGCGGAGAGAGAGAGAGACGGTGGACCACGGCGCCGAAGATGCTCTTTGCGGTCTTTTTAAATTTTCGAATATAACGAACTCTATCCGGCTTTTCCCACCAACTTGTTCCTTACGGTTAATGCCTTCCCCACTATTAGGTTCCCATGTTCTACTCTCTCCTTTTCTTAATAGAATCTTACACTTTCATATGATTCTCTAATTTACGGTAAAGTTCGTAATTGTTATCCAAATATATATTGTAAAGGAAAAGGTATAAATAGGTGATTGAACTATTTTAGAGATATTAATTAAGTCACTGAACTTGAATTTATAAGTTCCAAATTTATTTATAAACTCGAAAAAAATATAATTAGCATTTTTAGTAGGTTATCAACAGGTTTATGCTGATTGGGATGTCATGTGTATATTTTATATTTTATTTATTTATGATTATGCTAAGTCATGTTTTCCAAATTTTGTTTTCATCTTTAACCAACACTACCTCACCTAAACTTTCAAGTGGCGCCGCCCACTGCCACACCGTCGGGGAGTTGTCGTTGACGACCAAACGTTGGAGCACCGCCGCTGACAGCCATTTTTTGGTTTTGAAAACCAAGTCCAATTTATTCATATTTGTATATTTAATTTTTTGGTTCATGTTGGATCATCTTACATAACACCGGCACAATAAATTATGTTGTTTATTTTTATGTATGATTTGTGAGTTATTACATAGAAATGAAATTTACCACATACACAAGCTCAACAGTCGTTATATCGTGACCAGGGTGCACAATGCATTGTGCGCCCCGCCCTACCCAAAACGACTTCGTTTTGTACATTGTCCAAAAAATTCCTCTGTTTCGAATACACATAAACTCATAACAGAATCCACAGAAACTCATAACTGAATACACATAATCTAACATGATACATAATACACAGAAACTCTTAACTGAATACACAGAAACTCTTAACTGAATACACAGAAACTCTTAACTTAATACACATAAACTCTTAACTGAATACACAGAAACTCATAACACAATATACAGAAATTCAAAACACAATACACATAATGGAATTTGGGTCGTTTGAACGGACAAAATGACGTCAGCAATTGAAACGCGCGCATTTTGTGCCTGAACGCACATTGCTATGTGCGTCGTGGTGCAGAATATAAATTGACTAAGCATTAATAGTAATTATAAATTTTTATTGTCACCAAAGAAAAAAAAATCATTACAAACACAAAATATGTCAAGTAGGAATATCGACCTTTAATGGGCCAATTTTCACATTGGACGGTTCAAACTAAATAATCGGGCCAGGCTAGAAGCGGCAAATTATGTTGTGGAACTCTGTCCACTTTGTAAGGTGGACACAGTTCTAAAATTGTCATAATTATGAATATAAAGTTTAAAAATTATAAATATAGAATTCTATAATTATGAATATAGAATTCTGTGATTGTGAATATAGACTTCAATAATTGTGAATATGAAGTTCAAAAATTATAAACATAGAGTTTTATAATTATGAACATAGAGTTCTATAATTGTGAATATAGAGTTCAATAATTATGGATATAAAGTTCATAAATTATGAACATACTGTTTTATAATTATAAACATAGAGCCGTGTCCACCTTGCAAGGTGGACATGGTTTCACGGCATAACAATTGACCTCCACAAATTATGTTGTGGAATCGTGGACACGGTTCCTAAACTGTTCATAATTGTGAATATAGAGTTCAAATATTATGAACATAGAGTTTTGTAATTGAGAATATAGAGTTCAATAATTGTGAATATGAAATTCAAAAATTATGAACATAGAGTTCAGTAATTATGAATACAGAGTTTTGTAATTGTGAATATAGGGTTCAATAATTGTGAATATGAAGTTCAAAAATTATGAACATAGAGTTTTATAATTATGAACATAAAACCGTGTTCACCTTGCAAGGTGGACACGGTTCCACGGCATAACAATTGACAAATTATTATGTGGACTTGAGTTTAAATGTTTACAATTTACATACTAAATATTTACAATTTATCTTTTAAAAATTCACAATTTGTATACTACAAACATACAGTGTTTATATGTAAATGATTACCTTGTTTTATATTCACAAGTTCCTTTCAAATAATGCAACCGTACAATATTAATATATATATTATGATTTGATGACCTTATATTGTATTCACAAATTTCTTTTTACAATTGTTATGTGTTTCGACTTAAAAACACAATTTATATTTTAAAAACTCACAATTCCAATACTAAAAATACACAATTTATATGTTATTTAGGGTCAAAATCCACCTTACAAGATGAAACATAGTACATGGTATAACAAGGCTACTACCTCCATCACTTTCATTCACCGACTGATCATACTTTATTTTTCCCAGTCTCACGTCATACATTAGTATATGAATAAAATTTATGGTTGATATAAGTACTCAAATAAAGGGATGAGCTCATCTCAAAAGATTCTAAAAATATTGTACGTGTGAATTCAAGTTATACCTATGGTTTTAGTCAGTATTTTAAGTTATAATAGATTTATATATTGAGTTTAAAATGTTACACATTATGGGGTGTTTGGTAAATGGTTATTTATCGGCTGTTAGCTGATTGAGTTAGTGGGTTTGACTAGTCAATAGTATTAGCTGATTGTAGAAAAGTGTTTGGTAAATTAGTTGTTAGCTGATAGCTGATTTACATGCCAAATGACTTTTTCCAAAAAGACTGATCGAAAAAGCTACTTTGAGCATCTTTTTTTAATTTTAGCATTTTGAAGCAATAAGTTGTAATAAAAAGCTAATTAATCAAACACCATATTGATTATTTAACCAAGTCAAACATCTAATAATAGTCAAATAAATAAATATTAACTGATAGACTAACTATTTTACCAAACAGGCATATATTTAAATTGATTTCAAAAGAAAAAGTGAAACAATTTTTTTTTTTTTATAATAATGGACATTTCTATTACCCAATATTATAAATTTTCCCTAATTATCTTGATTGGAAAAAAAAAATCATTCTGTCTCATTTTACCTATCTTGTTTATATTTATTGGTAAAACCAACTCTTTTTTATTTATTAATTTTTAGTATTTTTTTAAAATTTTATTTTATGCTTAATAATTTTTTAATATAATTTTTAAATATATAAATTTTATATAATAATACTAAACTTAATATATAAAATAAATAAAATATAAATAACTTCAATAGATTTTATTAACCAAACTACATACACAAAATGCGACTATATAGTATTACTCTAGTAGATTACAAGAGAGAAGTCCTGCTGGGATAAGTTGTGCGTGTCATCTTTGGGCAGGAATTATGCTAATCTTCTCTGTATCGTTTTAATTTTATCAGATGTTTCTAAAGAGACTTGTCGGGATAAGTTAAGTGGATATATAAATGACTTAAAATAAATTTTTAATTTTTATTTTTATTTTTTTTTTTTTAAAAAAAAAAGGAAAAAAAGAGGGAACATGTAATCTGTAAAATGCAGTGTTCACACAATGCCCTCGTGCAATCTTGGGAAACGAGAATGAATAAACTCTGAAGTCTTGTAAATTATCTTACTTTTGGTCCAACTTTTTTCATGCAAGCCCAATACTATTGACTATTTGTCTTTCCACACCACAATTCCATGATTCCGAGGCATCGATCACCCTCTTCAATTGTCTCCACTATTATATTTCACTTTTACCCATTCATGACTTCAATTTGCATGCATTTCCACCCCTTATGGTACGTTGTACCGTCTAGTTCAAGTTATAATAAATTCAAGAATGTGAATGTATGTAATGTCTCCAATGAGGTAATAATCAAATGGTGCGTCGGAGAAATTTCAATTTCAATCTTATGATTATTGGAGTCTTGTTAATTTTAATCCTTGATTTTTAAAAATGTCAATTTAGTACCTTGACTATGCAATTCTTATCAATTTTGGTCACTCCAACTAAATTGCCGGTCAAATTTCGCCAAAAAATTTTAACAGTTAAAATGATGAAAATATTTTAGTCATTTCGCATATCTTTCCTTCTTCTGCGGCGAATTCATCTTTTCTACCATGTTTCCCGCTCCAACAAATTTGCGCAGGAGGTGTACTGGACGAGCACAAAGAGAAGTGCAGTTCGGAGATTTCTAGGACCGCCTGTATCTCAAGCTCCCCTTATACAAACCACTACTGGAAATTATTGAATTTCCGACCACCTGAAAGTGATCTTAAATCAAGTTAAAAGTAAAAAGTGGTCGGAAATAGCAACAAAGGTTTTTCCGGATACCAAAAGTGATCGGAACAAAACTTTCGACTTGATTTAAGATCACTTTCAGGTGGTCAGAAATTTCATAATTTCCAATAGTGAACGGCCAGATGTTTTCAACCGGAATTTTGGCCATCTGAACCCTAATAAATCGGCGGCGGCGGCGGCTTGGACGAATGAGTTTAGGTATGCTTAATTTGGAAGGTGTGCTGTTGTGACGGATTCGCTGGAAAAGATGAATTCGTCG